TCTGTCTGGCTGGCGAGCGCACGCGCCCTACAATGAAAAACTCTCAAAAAAAAAAAAAAAAAAACCACTCTATTACCCAATTAGCAAAAAGCAAGAAAGAAATAAGATTATCCAGCTGTGCTAGCTGCTTTTTCTCATAATTACTTCACAGACATCATGTGGTAATATATTCCTCCCTACAGAGAGGTTGTGGTAAATGTCAGATGATTGATTGTGATGTCCATACTAGAAAGTGTGTGGTTCTACTTATTGGCAGCACTTCAACTCTTTCCTCTTGTGAATTGTGTTCTAAAGTCAATTTTTGCGTTCAGGGGTCTTTCTCCAGTTGCCTCCATTTGTTAACACCTTTCTACAGGAACTGGTATGTGGATGAGCCATCCTGTGGCAGTGAGGTCTGCGTGGTCATGTACCATCAGCCATCGGCACCTGCCGGCAGCGGGGGGCCCTACATGTTCCAGTGGAATGATGACCGATGCAACATGAAGAACAATTTCATTTGCAAATATTCTGATGGTAATGAATTCTCTCCCAAGCTTGTAGCTGAATTCTCAATCTCTTCTATTGTTTTATAAGTAACTGCAATTTCCATTTGTTATGTAGTTTCTGAGAAAGCTTTTTGCAAATGCCAAGCAATGTTAAACATCATAAATTCTTGTAAAGGGAAAAGTAATAATACCTCCTCACCAAGGTGTAATACTAACAACAAAAAGTTATCAGATGCCAAGAAAAAAGATGAAAGAAATATAGGGTCTAATTATATGTAATAAAACAAGAGTTATAATAATTTCAGGGGAAAAAAGTCCTCTCAGTGGACAACCATAAATTCTTACTCTTTCTACCTGTGAGGTTGGCTCTGATAGTTAGGAATGTAAGTCTCCTAACAGCCAGGTGAGACTCTTTTCTGGGGCATTAAAGAAACATCAAAACCATCAGAGGAAGTAGATGATGAAAAAAAAAAAAAAAAAAAAAACAGAAAAAAAGACTAATTTTGGGGGCAGCAGGTGCTGAACTCCCACACGGCCAATCACGGTTCAAGTCCTGGATCTGGAGACTTGTTTTCTCACTTTTCCTCTATCTCTCTTTCTCTAGTCAAATTTTAAACAACAACAACAATAATTATAATTAATAAAATAATTAAAAAATAAAACACATCAATTTCAACAGTGGTAGGCAGAGATAGCAGGCATCTTGATGAACAGATTCACCGTCTATATGTGCCTTGTAAATTCAAATTGCATGTGCTTCCAGATGTGTAAGGATTTTGACTTGGCCAGAAATCTACAGTCTCACTCTTCTGGGATTTCTCAGCCTATTCCTTTATAACTGACTTAGCTTTAAACTTGGATTGATTCTTGAGCTATCTCTGAAGTTTCTCACCTTCCTGAAGCCAAATGCTAGGCCTCAAGCTTGCATTCTTTCCTGACGGGAGTGGAGTGACATGTTAGTTATAGCTATTGATAGTTTGGGACTAAATAATGCTACCATTTTTAAATTGTTTGAATTGGACTATGCTTTCAGGGCAGGTTTTTTTTATTTATTTATTTTTAAAGAGGTTTTTGCCTTAGGGTGCATGCGCTCACCAGAGAGAGAGACACACAGTGAGAAACCACTCCCCACAAGGATGGTCACACTGCAATCCCTTCTCCTCCATTCTCCTCCCGAGATCTTGGGCATGTATGTACACGCACTTGGCATGATTTTAACCCACCAGGTCCAGGACTTGAACCACAGTCTACCATGTAGGAGTTCAGCCTTGTAACCACTACACTATCTGCTGGTCCCATTTGGGGCAGTTTTTGCTGCTTAAAGATGTTTTTCCTTCCCTTTTTTTTTTTTTTTTTTTGAGAGGTTTTTGCTATAGGGCATGTGTGCTCTCCAGACAGAGAGAGACCGATAGACAGAAAGCGAGAAATCACCCCCCAGGGGGGATGGCCACGCCGCAATCCCTTCTCCTCCATTCTCCTCTTGGGATCTTGGGTACGCACGCGCACAGGCCTGGCGTGAGTTTTAAGCCACCGGGTCCAGGACGCGAACTGCGGTCGACTACGTGGGAGTCTAGCAACATAACCATTACACTAACTGCTGGTCCCAAGATGTTTTTCCTTCCTCTTTACACCCTCAGTGAATTCCTCCCCTACTCTACAGAGTGTCTCAAGCAGGCAGATTGCAAAGATCTAGACTGACTTTGAGGGTCACCTTTTTACAAACTGGATTCTCATTACTTTTTAAAAAAATTATATTCCATTAGCTCCATGGTATAAACTTTTACACTCCTTGAACATTTTTTGAAATGTGGGACTTTGAAATTTTCTTTAAAATTCTTTATTTTGGGGCTTGGCACTCTTTAGAAGACTATATATTCTTCATTACCTTTGTTTCTACATGTATTAGCTAGACAGAGTCCTGGCAGAAAGAATATGGCATACCCACAGGGTTTAATGAGGAGTGTAAATAAAAAGGATATTTTCAGAGGTGGGGGCAAAGAGCAAGAGATAGGGAAGTACCCCCCCACCCCCACCCCCGCATGCGCACACACACACACACACCTTTATGGGATGATTATTAAGAGTTTCTGTCCTTTTAAAATGAAACTTCGGAATAGGTTAAACAGTCTGGCTTTGGAACTTTTTTTTTTTTTCGGTTTTTGCCATAGGACACATGTGCTTGATGGACAGAGACAGAGAGGAAAGTGAGAAATCACCACCCAGAGGGTATGGTCATGCAACAATCCTCTCTTCTCCAATCTCCTCTTGAGATTTTGGGCATACACACACACACACCCAATGTGGTTTTCAAGCTGCCAGGTCCAGAACTCAAACCACAGTCAGCCATGTGGGAGTCCAGCGCCTTAACCACTATGCCACCTGCTGGTTCCTAGGACTATGATTTCTAAAATCTCTCCTTTAAGGATGCTATCTCTACTAACCCCAGAGCATCAGATTAACATAAGAGACTATTGCCAATTCAAGAGGTAGACACACTCCAGTCAAAAGCAGAAACATTTGATGTAGATTGTATAACCTGTCTTCCCTGAGGCTCTTTGAAACATTTAAAATAACTCAGCTTCTTGGAGATGAATTCCCATGGCTCTCTAAAACACTCTCAATATGAATTGATAAACTGTCTTGGATTGCTTTAAAATAATCCAGGCTGGGCATGTAGCAGGGCAACAGTAGGGATTATAACTGGAACCACATTAGCTAGACAGTGACAAGAGTTGAAGGTTCATGACGGTACATAGGAGTTCATTATACCAGTCTTTCTACTTTTGTGTGTATTGAGAATTTTTCATATTTAAAAGTTTTGAGATACTTTATAAAAAAGAAGAAAGCACTGAAATAAAGTTTGGGGATGGCTAGTCTTTATATAGGAAATGATTCTTCTGACTTACTAACTGGGCTCCTGATATCAGATAATAATAAAAAATTTGGTAACAGTAAATAAAGCTTATTGGATGATGAAGGAGCAACTAAATGGAAGCATGCTCTAGCCTATTTCATTCAGATGCCATGAAGATTCAGGGTTTTTTTATTTTGTTTCTTCTTGCTACAGAGGAACTAACAGCTCCTTCTCCAAGGCCTGGAGGTAAGGCTGTCATTTGAGGTTGGAATCAATTTAAGCTGCTTCACAGCCCATTCCTAGATTTAGAGCCATATGTCCTTTAGAGCATATGGTTCTAATATTCAATAGAAAGACTATTGGTGTTTATCCAGATATTTTAGACAGGTATATGTCATGATCAGCCATGACAATTAGTTCATTAGCCTCACTCTAATGTCTGTTTCTCTCAAAGCTGAAAAACAACGCTCATAAATTCAGTTTGGGATATTGCTTGTCATTATTGATTACAGGAAAGGAATAATTTAATCAAATGAGATGAGATATGAACCGAACTGATGATTTATGGTCTCAGAAATGGGTCACTTTCTGGGCCCCAGCACCAGCAGCTTGTTGGTTGTTTGGGTACCTGATCTCACCAAGGGTCTCACCAAAAAGATGAAGATAATAGACCTCTAGAGGGCAGCAAATTCAGCCCTTGATTTTTCTGTTTGTAAATGTCACTGGGCTGGGCAACTTGCTACTGCTCTTCTGCATCCCACTTTCAATGTGGTAGGATGACAGAGCATATCTGCATTATGATGCCTTTATCCAAGTTCTCAAGCCTATATGTCTCAATCCAGGTGAGGGAACAGAGCCAGCAACACCCACATCTCCAGAAGAAACACAGAAAGAAGATACCAAAGAAACATTTAAGGAAAGTACAGGTATGTTCAGAACCCTCCAGGGGAAGACAGATGATACGATTCCCTTAATTACAAATCACCCGAGGTTACATGCCTCACTTTATTCTTTCTCACACCTACTCAACAATGAAACTAGACAGGGTGCCTGGGACTGCAAAAGCAGTATTAAATGTCAGGTTAGGCTTCATCAGTGAAACACGCAAATGGTACTATCCTAAAACAAGTGGGGAGATTAGATTAGACAGGAGGTGAAAAATCTGCATGAAGACAGAGTCCTGGGATCCACCCAGAGATCATGGGGTGTGGGAATACTCAAAGAGTGGATGTAGAGAAATAAGAGCAGAAAGACCCAGGCCATGAGCATAACATCTATGATTAATATTCATATATAAAACAGAGGAAATGGACCAAAACATTTAAAAAGTTAGATCATAAAAGGTGAAAAAAATGGAGTGATAAACTGGAGTGCTTTCTATATCACTCTCACCCTGAATTAGTTTTTGTCACTGGGCAACCTCGTTTTGTTTTTTAATTGTCAGAAGGTATGTTCCCTTGCGAGAGAAAGAGAAAGAAAGAGTGCCCCACTAAGTTGTGGTCATACTACAATCCGTTTGCCTCTATTCCTCCCTCTTGTCGGGACTTTAGGTGTGCAGGCACACACTCCCAGCATTTTTTCAAGCCACCAGAGATGGGCCAGGCTTTGAATTGTAGTAGGCCATATGGGTGGTTTGGATGTATTTGTGTGCGTAAGGATGCACTGGCTCCAATGCACAGCATTTAACCACTGCACTATAGGTCTGGCCCACTGGGCAACTTAAAGAAAATACTTCATTTCTCTGTGCTTCAATTTAATCACTTGCAAAATGGAAGTAACAATATTTTTCCTATCTACCTAAGAGCATTACTATGCCCATAAAATGAAATAAAATATTGCAAGGCTGCAATTCAATTCTGACATTAACCACTAGAGTCCGTGCAGACTCTACAGCTTAAGGACACACTCTGAACAAGACTGCACTCGCTTCTGACATTAGCCACAAGTTTGGGGGGGGCGGTGTCCCCAGGCCACCCACACTTCTGACCAATTGGTTATAGATTCTGGGATGCCCATGCCTCCCTTACCCCCCAACTCAGGTTCATTAATTCACTAGAACAACTCACAGAACTCAGGAAAACACTATGCTATGACTACATTGTATTGTACAAAATGCAAGTCAGGAACAGTCAAATGAAGAGACCCACAGGACAAGGTCTGGGGAGGTTCTAGATGGGAAGTTTCTGTGTCCTCTCCTCATAAAATCAGGAGAGTCAGTTTCACTAAACTTTGTTGTCCAGCAATTTTATTGGAGTTTCATTACATAAACATGATTGATTTTTTTTTAAATGCCAGAGAGGGCACATGCACATGGCAGAGAGAGAAAGGGGGGAGAGAGAAAGAGGGGAAGAAAAAAAAGAACTCCCAAATGGGGCCCAGTCATGTCACAATCCGCTTTTCTCCACTTCTTTATCCTGCTGGGATCCTGAACATGCACATACACACATGTCTGGCATGTTTTTCAAGCCTCTAGGATGAGAATTTGAACCTTAGTCAGCCATGCAGGATCTGGCTCCTTCCCACAGCATTTAATCACTGAACTAAGGGGCTGGCCTGGCATGATTTGATCACAGGCCATGTGGTGGTATTCAATCTCTAAAGGAGGCCAGGCTAATATCACCCAGCTCAAAGCCCCAACCTTCTAATCACAGTGAGGCTTCCTAGCACCCACCCTGAAACATGTCCTTGACAATAAACTTTGATATGGACTTAAGGGCTCATGAACAACAAAGTCATTTATACTGCTTGGGAAATTCCAAATTCCAAGGAATTGGAGCTTCCCTTCCAGGAACCAGTGACAAAAGTCAATAAATTTTTTTTTATTATACAACAGACATAATGTGTGAAAATGTCTTGAAAGTTCAAAATGAGACACCCACCATGACACAGCAGTAACATAACATTCCACGATGCTGAGGCCACATGAGAGGCTCCTACGTTCACATCCCAAGGTCCCCCTGTTTATACCAGGTATGCCACACATGCCCATGATCCTGGCTGGCTGAGACTAGGAGTGGATTGTCACATGGGGACCCTACTAGTGATGCTTGCCTCTCTCTCTCTCTCTCTCTCTCTCTCTCTCCGCTCTCTCGCTCTCTCTCCCTCTCTCCCTCCCTCCCTCCCTCCCTCCCTCTCTCCTTCCCTCCCTCTCTCTCAGAATAAATAAAAAATTAATCTTCATTTTCTTTCTTTTTTATTTACTTATTTACTTATTTTTTATTTTTATTTTTGTAGTTTGCTATAGGGTATGTGCACTTGCAGACAGGGTCAGAGATAAAGAGAGAGAGGAAGTGAGAAAGCACCTCCCAGGCAAACCCTTCTCCTCTCAGGATTTTAGACACACATGCACGCACACCTAGCATAATCTTCAAGCCACCAGAACCAGGACTTGAACAGCTCTGTCAGCCATGTGGGTTCCAGTTGCCATTTGCTAGTCCAGAAATTTTTTTTTTAAGTGCAAAGTGCTGTGCAAAGGCGGGAGGCATTTCTACTGCTCATTGTTCTAGTGATATTTAAAGTGAGTTTGGGGGATCATTTGTTTTTTGTTTCTTAATGGTTGTCAGGTTTGTGATCTTAATGGGATGGGAACAGTTTCTGGATGGTAGTGAATGTTGGATCAGTGGGAATAGGAAGAGGATTAGTCTCCAATCATAGATTTCTCCACAGCCCCTGAAAGAAAGATCTGTGGTCCTAAGTCTTAAAGCAGGGGTTCCCAGCCCCTGGGCCATAGATCAGTCTGTGGGCTACTAGCAACCCACATGGCAGGAGTGAAGCACTCACATTACCCTGAGCTCTGCCTCCTGTCAGATCATGGCACCACTAGGTTCCATTGTGAACTGTGCATACAAGAGATCTAGGTTGCCCCTTATGAGAATCTAAAGCCTGATGATCTGAGGTAGAGCTGAGGCAGTAATAGCCAGGTGGTGGCTAGCGCCAGGGAGTGCCTGCAAGTACTGCATTATGGTAAATTGTATAATTATTTCATTATATAGCATAATGTAATAATAATAGAAATAAAATACACAATAAACATAATGTGCTTGAATCATCCTGAAACCATCCTCTTCTTTACTGCCCCCACCCCCAGAACATGGCAAAAATTGTCTTCCATGAAACCGTTCCTGGTACCAAAAAAGTCAGGGACAGTTTTGCAATCTAATTCATGGGTTTTATGTGACCTTGACTCTCCTGGTGACGATGAACTTTTGGTTTGCTCCTTTTTCCCACCTTGGCCTACTATGGCTATCCTTAGAGACAAACATCAGCACTGGGCCATCAGCCCCTGCTCTGCTAAGAAAAAGGACAATAAAAGAGAAAATCCAATTTTTTTTCATTAACAAACGTGTCCACCTAATATTTGCAAGAGACCCAGAAATTTAAACTTACTTTAATTATTACTTAGGGTGATGGGTAGGTTAAAAAAAAAATGCTCATTTGTTAAGATTAGAAGACCCTTTGCTAAGCAGGTAACTGCATCTATCTCCTTCCAGGAATGTGTTTTTTGGAGCACAATACTCTGTGTTGATTATGACTTTTTTTTCTTTAAGGTTTTTGCCATAGGGTGCATGTGCTTACTGGAGAGAGAGAGAGAGAGAGAGAGGGACAGTGAGAAATCTCCCCCAAGGGGGATGGCCATGCCAAAATCCCTTCTCCTCCATTCTCCTTTTGGGATTTTGGGCACACATGTACCCAGCATGATTTTCAAGCAACCAGATCCAGGACTTGAAATGCGGTTTACCATGTGGGAGTCTAGCACCTTAACCACCATACTACCTGCTGACCCCACACTTTTTATTCAAAATTTTTTTTGCCAAAGGGCATGTGCACTCACCAGAGAGAGACAAAAAGAGAGAGAGGGAAAGTGAGAAATTACCTCTTGTGGAGGACGGCCAAGTGCTTTAACCACCGTGCCACCTGTTGGCCCCGATTATGCTTTTTCAAAACATGGTTTGAAGCACAAAAATATCACCAATGCTGATGCTGTACTTTTTCTTTTCAGAAGCTGCCTTGAATCTTGCCTACATCCTAGTCCCCAGCATTCCTCTTCTCCTCCTGCTTGTGGTCACCACAGTTGTATGTTGGGTTTGGATCTGTAGAAAGAGGCAAGTAAAACCTCTTCATTTAGGTAAAAGCCCTGGCAGGGGCTAAGTGGTGGTCGCACAACTGGACCCACACGGAAAGGTCCAGGGATTGCATTCTGGAATCTCCCAAAGTATGCTGGGTGCACACACATGCCCATGATCTAGGCTGAGACCGAGGGTGCACCAAGATGGGGGTGCCTATCTCTCTGTCTTTCCATCTCTGTTTCTCATGAAAGGAATAAATAAACTTAAAATTTAAAAATTTTTTTAAAAAAAGAAAAAAAGCCATGCAGCTCCCAAAGAATCATCATTGCAAATTTGGCTCAGGGCATTTAAAAGAACGAAGCATTTGGGGTCAGCTGATGGCATCGTAGTTGCGTCACTGAACTCCCACATGGTAAACCACAGTTTGTGTCCTGGACCCAGTGGCTTGAAACTCACACTCGGTTCATGTGCATATATGCACAAAATCCTGGAAGGAGAATGGAGGAGAGGGGATTGTTGCATGGCTATCGCCCACCCCCCTCCTCCTGCTGGAGGTTATTTCTCACTTTCCCTCTCATTATCTGTCTGTTTCACTCCAGCGAGCACATGCACACTAAGGCAAAACTTCTTTATAAATAAATACACTAAGCATTACGCTTAATTTTGATTAAGAGAACTATTTCATTTTTTGTTTTGTTGATTTTTTTGAGAGTTTACTTTATATAAGGTGAGTGCACTCACCAGAGACGGAGAAAGCAAGAAAATGATAAATCGCCCCCCAGAGGGATGGCCATGCTAGTCCCTTCTCCTCCATTCTCTTGGGATTTTGAGCATGCATGCACACATGCCCAGCATGTTTAAGCCACTGGGTCCAGGACTTGAACCACAGTCTACCATATGGGAGTTCAGCACTTTTACCACTATGCCACCTGCTGACTCCTTTCGTTGTTATCCCCCCCGTGAGGGGATGCTTTCTCATTTTCCTTCTCTTTCTTTCTCTCTCTGCTTCTCTACAGGGAGTACACACACCTTCGTATAACTAAAAAAAAAAGAAAGAAAGAAAGAAAGAAAAAGAAACAGTGTGGCCATTGTTGTCTCCTCCTTCCTGAGTCTCCCTAGTCGCTGGGATTACAGGCACACACCCCCATGCCAGGACTTTCAGGCTGGGCCTCCCACATCCTGGCCTGTACATTACAGCATCTCAGCGGTGCATGCCACTGCAGCTGGGCCTGTGATCTTACTTTTTATTTTATTTCTTGTGTGTGAAAGATTTTTAACTTGAAGACTAAAACTGTTATTCACCTCCTGCATGTCCATGCATTACACAGCAAAAATGTTCTCATGAATGTTAAGTCCTCACATGTAAAAAGTTTGCTGAGTGAGTGAAAGAATGAATACTGAGCCATGTGAAAAAAAAAGTGGAGCATTCCAGTAAACATTGTGAAACAAAGTGGAACTAAACCACTTAATAGGAAGCAAGAGCTAAATTCCCGTTAGCCGACTTTTCAGTGACTAGACACATGTACATCGCTATACTAGCTCACCCAGACAACTCCGGCTTATGGTCAGGATCACGTGCCTCTACTTTTTTAGGTAGTCGTGTTAGCTATTATGATGATGACCTCTCATTAGCCATTCCCTTTGAATTTAAAAGTAGAATTCAGTTCAAAAACTTACAAATATATTTTATAACTGCTTACTGTGCAGTTGGCTCTCAACATCTTTCTTACTTTATTTAGCACCTCGCCAGGACTGTTAATCTAAAGGTGAGGTCTGTCTATCCCAAAGGTTTTTATCCTTTTTTGGGCCATAGGCTCCTGTAAGTCTGGTGAAGCCTATGGACTGCCTCCCAGAACAATATTTTTAATGCATAAATATTGGGTCCCAAAGGAAGCAATCATACTATGACATAGTTTAGCAAAATAGTTCCAAAATTGAATATGTCATTCAGTAATACATGTGCTTCTTTACTAATGTTTATTATTGGTGGGTATAATTATCATAATTTTGAAGTAGAGATGAATAAAAAATATTTCGAAGCATCTATAATAATTGTAGTATAAAATAAAAGTGTGATTTCTGTTAGTAATCGATTCAAAGATATTAATTCTACTCTGGTTTAGTGCATACATACATAAAGTGGAAGGACACACTAAATTTCAGAGATGAGTTTTCTAGAATGTGATTCTTTTTTCCTATCCAGTTCCATCCCTGAACTCTCCAGAAGTTCTGAGAACCTCAGATAATAACCTGGAGGCCCTGAATGACAGATACGCAATCACTTCAAACTACAAAGATTCTCCCAAAAAAAAGTTCATGAAAAATGCATAGTCTGAAAAAAAACTACATAAGAATTTCAAAAATTTTGCACCAGAAAAACTCATTTTAATTCCATTTTCCACAAACTTTTTGAAGTCCCCTTATGATGCTTCCCTGATTTGTTCCCATACCACTACAAAGCCCTGGCCTGTGAGTTTAGGTACCGAGGAGTGCCTAGGAATACCTCCTCCTGCCTGAACGGGAAGCATTGCCTAGTCTGAAATACTCAGTCCTGGTTTTCTTTCCTTCTAGAACACAGGAGCGTCCAGACCCTAGCCCAAAGGAGCAACACACCATCTGGCCCTCTCCTCACCAAGGGAACAGCCCTGACCTAGAGGTTTACAATGTCATAAGGAAACAAAGTGAAGCTGATTTAGCTGAGACTCGGCCAGACCTGAAGAATATTTCATTCCGAGTATGTACAGAAGTCACTCCTGATGACCTGTCTTGTGACTATGACAACATGGCTGTGAACCCATCAGAAAGTGGATTCGTGACTCTAGCAAGCATGGAAAGTGGATTTGTGACCAATGACATTTATGAGTTCTCCCCAGACCGAATAGGGAGGAGCAAGGAGTCTGGGTGGGTAGAAAATGAAATATATGGCTATTAACGTGCATTTCAAAAAACAAACAAACAAACAAAAAGCTTGAACTGACAAGAATGGGAAGAAAATGAGATATAAATTCTCCTATTTCCTACAAGAAAATAATAAGACGTTCTGTGAAAATGCTCAGATCAGGTCCTGGGGTAAGCATGTGATCCCCATTAGCTCCTGTTGGGTCCCAAAGATTTGGCTGTCTCCCTTATCCTAGTCTCTTACCAGCTCAGTCTTCGGAGAAAGTGCCTTACCCAGGGTTCTGGCATACAGTGGAGTCTCGATAAATGTTAGTTTATGGGTAATACCTGGTTTCTAAGGGATAGAGCTTTATAGGCAGGGATGAGGGTTGAGGCTTGGAAAACCCACCTATAGGTTCTGTTTTCCTTGCTCTAAACAGCAGGACACAGGATCATAAGGAAACAGAAACCACAGACTCAAAGCCAACATGCACATCAACAATTGTTATGTCTGTTTTCTTCAAAGGATAAAATCAAATAAAAAGCAGGAAGCAAAATGTTATTTAGCCTATGACTACAGCCCTTCCTCTGTGTGTGTTCTCAGGAGATGGTTTTTCTTCTCTCTCTCCCTCTCTCTTTTTTTAATTTTTTTCTCTTTCTCCTGACATCCAAACTTGGAAATCCAACTTGGAAATACTTTAGGAACTAAAAATGAAATGTGAGTCTCAGCTTCTAACTAGGCCTATTTGTGCTCCCAGCCCTGATAAGGCATGTTGGTCTGTCTGAGCATTTGTCTAATTACAGCACCTACATTATAAATAATGATTGTAATTCCACCTTTTGTTTTAGGGATCTGACTACTTCAAATCCAGAGAAAATTTTCTTTCTCTTTTTTTTTAGAGGGATTTTTGTATAGAGCATGTGTGCTCGCCAGAGAGAGAGAGACAGAAAGACAGAAAGCAAGAAACTGCTTCCCCAGGGGGATGGCCATGCCACAGTCCCTTCTCCATTCTCCTCTCGGGATTTTGGGCATGCACACATACGTACCAAGCATGAATCTCAAGCCTCTGGATCCATGACTAGAAATGCAGGCAGCCATGTGGAGTCCCAATGACATAACCATTATGCTATCTACCGGTCCCAACACAGAAAAATTTCTTAGCCTAACATTAGTCATGTACACTTTAAAAGTCTAAAAGTCATTATTTAAATCACCAGTATCCTCCATCTATCAGCTTCATAATCCTATTTTTTTTTCAGAGAGATGTTTGCTATAGGGCACGTATGCTCACTGAAGACCCAGAGAGACAGAGAAATAGAAAGTGAGAAATCACCCCCCAGGAGGGATAGCTACACCACAATCCCTTCTCCTCTGTTCTCTTCCTGGGATTTTGAGCACATATGCACACACACTCAGTGTGAGTTTGAAGACACCAGGTCCAGGACTCAAACCACAGACTGCCATGTGGAAGTCCAGCTTCATAACCACTACACCATCTGTTAGTCCCATAATCCTATTATTTTAACCTTTCTACATACATCTTATTTTTGAATAGTTTAGCAACTTTGCCTCACATACAGAGCTCCAAGCTAAAAGGAGTTAACTAGTCTTGGTCCAAGCAGTAGTGAATACAGTAGTGAATACACCCGATTATCTGCCCTGCTGGGGCAGAGACATGATGGCTAACAAAACATCACTTCTACCTTCTCCGGAAAATACGTTTTATGGACTTAAAACATTTCAAGAAAAAACCTGGGCATGTAGTCTGAGGAACTGATTTATTCCTCAAAAACATCCAAATTCCCAGTTTGCTTCAGTCCTGGCTCCATCCTTTATCCTTCACCTGTTTATTTCACAATTCTGACCCCTCTCAGACTGCAAGCTCCATGAGGGCAGGAATCCTCTCTGCCTGTCAGCCTTGCACTTCCTGTAGAACCATGATGGCACCTTGCAGAGCAGGCCATCAAGATTTGTTGAATAGATGAACAAAGACTCTTTCAGACTGATGTAAAATAGCCTAAATGTTTCAATGGGAAAGTTTGTAGGACCTGTTTTTCATATCCCTCCTCGGTGGAAGAAGTAATTAAGTAATTTTAGTTTAAAAAGCACTCCTACTGCTTATGGAGGAAGCACAGTAACAAGTGGGAAACTAAAGAACTGTGTTAACAATTTACTTTAATTGTGTCACTAACACTCGAAATAAGGACCCATTCTTAATCCATAGAGTGATGTCATAGCCAGAGTGAAGCCTTCAGCATCTTCCCTTTGTCATTAGTATGTGACCACCTGGGGCCCACACATCTGTTCCTTCTGTGTTTGTACAGTCAGTCTGACCCATATTTTAATTATGCAATTTCTTTTTTCCTCATGGGATATACTAGCCTGAATCCATCCAATTTCATTTCTAAGAATTACATGTCACAGGTCATCTCTCTAGCCTAGTGGTTAAGGGAGTTGGATCCTTTATGGCCTACTGTGGTTCAAATCCTAGCCCAGGTAGCTTGAAAAACATGACAGGTGCTTGTGCATGTGTGTGCCCCAAATCCCAACAGTTTGCAGAAATGAAGAGATTATGGCATGACCATGCTTTATATTGGGGAGTGCTTTCTCCCTTTCTCTCTCTCTTTCTTTCTGTCTCTGGCAAGTACGCACACCCTCTGGCAGTTAAGAAAAAAAAAAAGAATTTCACTTCACCTATTTAACAAACATTTGCTAATGTTTGTTAAGCATAAAATGTTGAGTGTTTGTGATGTTCAAACTGAAAATGAGCTTATTCATTGAGCTGCACCATTTGGAAATTGAGTAAGTCTATTTCATTATTTATACCACAGTTCCCAATCTTTTTTCCCCATTGTGATAGAGATGACAGATGAACTGTATGTATCAGAGAAGTCCTTTGGGTCTACCTACTCAATAAGCATTTCGTGAATACCCCACCTCGTGCCATGCCCTATGCCAGATTTCAGGACTAAGGCATGTGTCAGTTAGGTTGCAGATTATGTACATGTACCCATGTGGTAGCTGTAAGCTCTTTTTCTCTTGTGCAATTCATTCATTCACTTGTTTGAACAATTTTAAGCATCCCTACTCTGTATCAGGATAATACTAGGTGCTAGGCATACAATGCCAAATAAGACAGACACAGGCCCACTCTCATGAAGCTTACACTCCGGTGGGGAAAAGAAGGTACATCAAAATACACATGAATGGGGAACTAGCAGTTAGCGTAATGGCTATGTCACTGGACTCCCACGTAGTCGACCGCGGTTCGTGTCCCGGACCCAGTGGCTTAAAACTCACGCCGGGCGCGTGTGCGTGCGTGCCCAGGATCCCGAGAGGAGAATGGAGGAGAAAGGATTGCAGCGTGACCATCCCCCCTGGGGGATGATTTCTCGCTTTCTGTCTCTATGTCTCTCTCTGTCTGTCTGGCGAGCGCACGCGCCCTACAGTGAAAATCTCTCCAAAAAAAAAAAATACATATGAATAAAAGACTTTTTTAAAAATTATTTGCAGCTCTTGCTGTTCTTCCTCCTTTGTATTATTCCTTCCCTTTCTTTACCCTTAACTTCCTTTCTGTCCCTGAATTCTCAGGTCCTAAAACCACAGTCAGAGGAAAGTAAGCATCTGGCTCTGAAAAGAGGGGGGGAGTTGGTAGCTCTGAGTAGGGAGTCAGGCATGAGCAGGGTGAGACCTGTGTGCACATGGCCTGAGAAAGCAAGGAGGCTATCTACACAGGGGTGAAGCAGCAGCGACAATGGGAGATTGGTCACTACAGGGGAAGAAATAAGTAAGCATACCAAGGACAAGGAAGGCCAGGTTTCTCACTATCAGAGAAGGCAGCTATAGATATGAAAAGGGAAAAAAACTGGAATGACCTCATGGCGTAAGACTGAAATTTTAAACATTGGTGTCACCTCATGGTTTTTGATATTAATTATCTACACATATATGTATATGTGTATAGATGCAGATAATGTTTAGCTAGTGCTCAGGTCTTAGCTTCTAAATACCATTCTCCACTCAAATAAACCAAGACTACAAGAGAGAGAAGAAAAAAAAAAGCTAATTCCAGGGCTGGAATAGAGAAAATGTAAAATTAGCTTGAAATTTTTTCTGGTTCCAGATGGCAAAGAAATATTCAAGAATGATGGGGGATTGGTCAAATGTGCAACAAAATAAATAATTATAGTGATGGATTGCAACTCATTGAATAAGACAGGAAACCATAAATCCACACTGATGTAAAATAATATATTGAAATTTTGATGAGGAATGGGATATTTACATAATTTCAGAGTAACTCCCCCACAAAATGCTCATTAATTGCAAAGACAACACTGGAGGCACATTGCACCTTAGTGAAATGATCATCGGTGTGAAGCTCGTCAATATTCGGGAAAATGAAATTCTGTTCCACCTAATGGAGTGGAATGAGAGAAATGCAAAAACACATCATAATGTTTTTGCCACCGTGCATAATCTGTGTCTAATTATGAGGAACCATTATACAAAAACGAATTAATGGGTATCAAAATAATTGGCCAGCAAACTTTAAGTTGCAAGGTAATGAAAGTCAAAGAAAAACGGACCAGCAGTTAGTGTAATGGCTATGTCGCTGGACTCCCATGTAGTCAACCGAGGTTCGGGTCCTGGACCCGGCAGCTTAAACTCACGCCAGGCGCGTGTGTGTGTGTGTCCAAGATCCAGAGAAGAGAATGGAGAAGGGATTGCGGCGTGGCCATCCCCCTTGGGGTGTGATTTTGCGCTGTCTCTCTGTCTCTGTCTCTATAAGCAAAAACCTCTCCAAAAAATAAAGAAAGAAAGAAAGAAAATCAAAGAAAAACTAAGGCATTGCTCTATAGTAAGGAGAACAAAGAGAGAGGACAAGCAAAAGCATTGGTTGACTCTGAACCAGCTTATTTTCCTATAAGGAAAAATACCGCAACATTTAGCAGTACTTGAATGGGACCTAAGAATTAAGTAACAGTAATGTATCAATGTTATCTTCCTGATTTTGATGGTCATACTGAGCTATTTGTAGGAAATACACTTTGGAATATTTTTTAACAATTTTTATTTATTTATTTATTATTTAATTTTGCTATAAGTCATGTCCACTCACGAGAGAATGAGAGAGAGACAAAGCAAACTGCCAGTCCAGGACTTGAACTGTGCTTAGCCATGTGGGAGCTCAGCATTTTAACCACCATGTCACCTCCTGGTCTCCATGTTGGAATATTAAGAGATGGGGGCCAGCAGGTGGCATGGAGTTTGAGGTGCTGGATTCCACATGGCTGGCTCTGTGGTTTGAGTTCTAGACTCAGTGGCTTGAAAATCACGCCAGATACGTGTGTATGAGTATGTGTACCCAAGATCCCGAGAGAAGACTGGAGGAGAAAGGTGCAGGATGGCCATCCCCCTGAGGAGTGAGTTTTCACTACTCTCTCCCACCCCCATCTCTCTCTGGTGAGTACATGTGCCCTATAGCAAAAGTGAAAAATATTTTTAAAAACAGATTCTAAAAAAAGGGGGATATCAAGAGATGATAGGACATTAAGCTGGCAA